GTCTGGTTTAGATCATTATTACTTATAAATTATATATTTTTCTGGTATAAATCTGCTGTTTTACATGATTGTTTAATGAAATTAAGATAATTATTAATTTATTGTAAAAACATGACAGATAATCTGTGAAACAGATCCAGTTCAGCTGCTGTTTATCTATTAGTTTCTATGGAGGCTGTGAGCTGTTGTCCTGTTTGGACGCCATTTTTGCTCCTCCATGWTGTCACAGASRCTACCAGTGGACGGGATGGGYGGGGCTCAGTCTAGTGATATTTAAGTCTATGCTTTTACCCCACAGCCATCAGGGCTCTGAACGCAACATAACACCGCAGTGCAAACATATAGAGGCAACAATACATTTACAAACAACCGATGTGTAATTACCAATGTGCAATAGGTACAATTTTAATGTGCAACATGTAAAATATCTATGTGCAATAACTCCATCAAATGTGAAATTGTATTGAACTGTAAATATATATTTTTTTATTCTTCTATATACTTTTTATTCAAACACCGGAAGGGAACACCTAATTTCATTGTACTTGTTACAAAGACGATAAAGATCTATTCTATTCTATTCTATTCTATTCTATTAAAGACCAGTGCTGAGAGTTTACCGGAGAACCGTTGGGTAGAGTTCAGCTGAGTAGAGGAAAGCAGTGGTGAATGCTGCCTCAGAAAAACCCTTTGCCATCACACCAATGCATGTTCGAACCACAGAGTACTCTGAAAGTGAAACAGATCAAACCCAAGTAAGAATCCAGAAACAGAATTGTTCAAAAAACAATGCAAGAAACAAAAGAGAGAAGCAAGTTTTTCTACGTCATATGTTCAGTTTTGTTTATGTATGCAAATACAGGAAACAACGTGACCTAAAGGTATGGCTGTGTTTATTCCAATCATAGCTCCTGTTGTGATCAGAAACCACGCCTGGCAGTTCCGTCGACCAATCCGGTCCAGGACAAAATAGGTGAGGATTTTGGCAGGAATTTCAATGATGCCRTATATGAACTGAGTGAGGTATATGTTGACACCAAAACCTGAGATCTTCAAACTGATGCCATAGTAAAGGAAGGAGACTGCAAACCTGTAGTAGGTACAACAACAAAGTCATGATAAAGACGTGCAACAGCCTATCAAGAAACACTTTCTAACGCGTAATCTGGTACCAGAAAAACCCAGAGCACAGGGTGATCTTTCTCAGTTGAGGGGTTTTGACCAGATCSAAGTAGGTGTGGTTCTTCTCTGCAACATCAGACACTGTTACTTTCCTCAGAACCTGAAACCATAACACAGGTCAGTGCTGACAGATCTGAATATTCAGAACGTATAGTGGGGCGAATATTTAGTTAGCCGCCAATTGTTCAAGTTCTCCCACTTAAAAAGATGAGAGGCCTGTAATTGACATAGTTAGATCTCAACTATGAGACAAAATGAGAAAACATATCTAGGAAATCCCATTGGGCCACATGCAAGAACATGTTCGTATTCTTATCCGAAATTTCTCTTACTTTTGTTCGTACGAACATGCCACGTCAGATTCAACAAAATTTTTAACAAACTCTTCTATCTTCAGGAAAAGTTTGTAAATGAGCTGCATAAACATGATGAATGTGTATCAGGTGCTCGTGCACGAGGAGAGGAGATTAGCATAATTACCACCCCAAAAACACCATATAAGGCTGTGTTTCCTGCCTCTGATACCAGGAAGTGTCCATTCATGAAAATGACAGCGAAAAGTAAAAAAGAAGAACTTTGTAAGTTCGGAGATTAAAGTCCTGCTCTCCGAGATCGAGAAAAGAAAATCTGTCCTTTTTAACAGCGTAAGTCGTGGAATTAAAGGACCAGCTAAAGGCAAAGAATGGAATGAAATAACTACTGCTGTTAATGTTGTGTCTCCTGTGGGTCGTTACAGTCACAGAAATAAAAATATAAATCATATTTATCTCTCTCTAGTCCTGCTCCGGTTTTTCTTTGGTCAAATATTTTTAATTTAAGTGTAAACAACTGTGTTACATAGTGTTCATTTATTCAGAAGAAGAGCAGTCGCGCACTACTACACCCTGCCCGTGAATTTTGTTCGTATCTRAAAAAAATCTTAGAATATGAGAAAATTGGTGAATGCCACAAATACTCCTAAATCACTCGTACGCACAACTGAAGAACAAATCTGTTCGTATGAACAGTTTTTGCATGAGGCCCAATGTCTCAAAATAAGCTGCTTTAAAGTCAGCATCAAACATAAACAAAATCTGCCATAATGCAGATTATAATGCCATTTACTCACTAGAAACTCACCAGTGAGTAAAACTTTATCAGTTTTACTTTTAATAATGTTTCTGTGTTTATTTCAGGTTTAGTCAGTCGTACACTTAGTTCTTAGAAGAGGACGTGTTAAAACACAGTTTAGTCAAAGTTAAACATTAAATGTCAAAGTTCATTACAACTGGCCCTTCGAGGGCCACCATAACGCTCATGTGACCCTCGGTGAAAATGAATTTCACACCCCTGACAGAGTAACCCTGTTAAAACCTTTTTACAATCTTTTATCTTTCATATTTTAAATCCATATACACAATGTACTCTGGGTTTAAAGTTTTAAAGTTATTATAAGCTGATCTTTTATCTGATTTGCTTAGAAATAAATCTATTAACCTGTCTTAGTAACTGACTGTTTAAATTTGAGCTAATTACCTGTCACAAATGAAATCTGTAATCCATCCTAATCAATTATTTGTAATATTTTGTTTAATTTGGTTTTAAATAAAGCATCTGACATGTTTGTGTAGATGATAAAAACTTAAATGGCRTCTCTGTCCAGTTTCTGTGATGTTTTGAGAGTTTGTCTTCTGATTCGATCATTTTCCGAACTGGAAAGGTAAACTGTTGATATCTGAGTTATTTTGCTAACACAGCTCTGTTTACCTACAATTACATACTTTACTCACAGACAGAGTTCAGTTGAAAAACTGACTGGCAGAATTTGAAACAAAGATTTTGGACAGTTCAATAATGCTCAGAATCTGTGTATTCCTCTCAGATACTACCACCTCAACCAAACATAAAGCTCGCCCTGTGTGTGCTGAAGTCTGCATGAAGTTAGGGGGTAGCATTTTATGAGGACTGGATTTTTTAGGCTTTTTAAACTTAAATAATGAGGATTGCATTAAACATGCATAAACACATAAACAAAAGGTTGAGGTCTGACAGAGGGGCACATCATTTTGATGGGGGCCTGGGCTGCAGGAGGGCTCGGGGCTTGGGGTGACCGGGGATGGGGCTGGCATTCCGGCTCCAGATAAAACTCTCCTGGAATTTATGTCAACAGATGATCTTTCCCCACCTCCCTCCTCCCACTTACAACTGTGAACTGGTGTCCAAGAGTAACCAAGGCCGAACTGATGAACTCAACATCCCTTCAGGAACAATGGGCCTCATGCAAGAACATGTTCGTATTCTTCTCCTAAATTTCACTTACTTTTGTTCGTACAAAGGGTTCGTACGAACATGTCACGTCAGATTCAACAAACTCTTCTACCTTCAGGAAAAGTGTGTAAATGAGCTGCGTAAATTCMCCTGTTCTATCCAGCTGCTCGTGCACGMGAGAGGAGATTAGCATAATTACCACCCCAAAAACACCATATAAGGCTATGTTTCCTGCCTCAGACACAAGGAAGTGTTCATTCATTCATGAAAATTACAGCGAAAACTGAAAAAATAAAAACTTCACGAGTTCAGAGATTGAAGTCCGTCTGTCAGAGATCAAGAAAAGAAAATCTGTCATTTTTAGCAGGTCAGCTTTGGAATAAAAAGAGCTGCTAAAAGTATAAACAACTGTGTTAAATCATTTTCATTTATTCAGAAGCCACAGCGCTGCTCACCGTACCACCCCCTCACCCCCACCCCAGCGCGCTGCGCGGCGCAGGTGGTCTCAGATGCGGGTCTGAAATAAGCATTTTAAAATGTTTTCAAAATAAGTCTGGCACTTTGGAGAAAATCCAGGACTTGATCATATATCCCTTCTGGTCTGGGAACGTCTTGAGTCCCCCAGGACGAGCTGGAAGGTGTCGCTGCATGGGGAGAGGGGGGTCTCTCTGTTGCTGCCCCCGCACCCGATCCCGGATAGGCGGCGGAAAACGGACGAACGGACAATTTGTTAGTCTAAATTATTACATTTAAAATTATAACTCTAATTCAAGCAGAATAGCCTATTGTCAACATAATTATGGAGTGTGATTTATTTTCAACTCAAAATATCTTCAAACTAATGAAATATAAAGTTATTAGGGAGAAAACCCGTCTGGATAACAGCAGACTGACTGCTGGTAAAATATACGACAGGTCTGGACCACTCCTGAATTTTGTTCGTATCTGAAAAAAATCTTAGAATACGAAAACATTGGTGAATAACACAAATTCTCCTAAATCACTCGTACGCACAACTTAAGAACAAATCTGTGCGTACGAACAGTTCTTGCATGAGGCCCAATGTGTCATAATCTGTATTTATTTTCCTTAGTTTTCTAGTGTTTTCTGTGTTCCCCTGTGTATCTTTCCCCTGCTTCCAGCCCCGCCCACACTCAGACGTTCCCTATTGTGTCTTCGCAGGTGTTTCTGATTTTCTCTTAATTTGGTTGCTTTATATTCTGTGTCTTGTCACCTGTCTTTGTCGGTTCATTGTGCTGTTTCCCCTCAGCCTGTGTGGTGTCTGCGTGGTTCCCCTGAGAAGTCCTCTAAGTTGAGCTGCTTTATCAGCCTTTTTTGTTACTTTAATAAGCCTTTTTGTTACACTTTGATTTTTGCCTGCGCCCTGGGTTTGTCCTGCACCAATCCCCACAGAATGAACCGACCAAGTCCCCAGCCCGCAGGCAAGACCTTTCTAAGTGTAAAGGACATGTTGGACATGTTGCAGCAAAGCCGAAAGAACCTGGCCGAGCTGTCTGCTGTTCTCTCGGGGACCTCTCCTTCGAGAGAGACAGCTTCTGGTGGTTTTTTTCACCCACCGTCCCACCCTCCCACCCCGTCTTTTTTCTGGGGTTCCCGTGCCTGACCTGGCTGTTTTTGCTGCTGGGTTCACTGCTGTGTCCGCTGATGAGGCCACTCCTGAGTCCGTTCCTGCGTCTCCTGAGTCAATGGTCCCAGTTCCCGAGTTGGTGGTCTCGGTGGATCTGCAGTCGGTGGTCTCGGCAGTTCCACAGTCGGTGGTTYYGCAGCTGGTGKTTCCTGAGCCGGTGGTTCCAGAGTTGGTGGTCCTGGAGTCGATGGTTCCACAGTCGGTGGTTCCGGTGGTGGTTCTGGAGTTGGTGGTCCCAGAGTCGGCGGTTCCGGCGGTGGTCCCTGAGTTGGCGGTCCTTGAGGTTCGTGGGTCGGCTGCCGGCCCCTCCACTTCATCTGGGTTGGTTGCCATGTCCTCCACATCGCCCATCGCCTCCTCATCGCCTCTGTCGCCTGCGTTCGCTGACGCTCTGGCTCCGGCAACCTCTACTGGCTCTTCAGCTGCTCCCACCTCCTCCCTTGGCCCCTCGGCTGCTCCCGCCTCCTCCTGCGGCATTTTTTTGGCAACGCTTCCTGCTGGGCCTCGTGCAACGTAAACGTTGGCTTTGGAGGGCGAAGTTAATGTCAACAGATTTTTGGAGGGCGTTACCAACAGAGCTCATTAACATAAACAGCTCTTCTGAACAGAAGTCAGAGCAGGCAGAACTAGAAAATGGGAAATTTTATTATCTGAGAATTATTTTGTGCATTAAATTGAACATGGTCTGGATAGCCCACAGACATACCATAAAAATTTCTAGGACCCATTATAGGTCTCCTTTAAAAATGCAGACACACATAAACAACACTACACGGCTTCAGATTTACTCCTACCCCCTCAAATCACCATCTTTGCTGGCTTAAATGTGCTCTATGCAGAGAGGATTTTTTTTTTCAACCCATATTGTGTCCCTCTTAGAGACAAAGAATGAGATGCTTGTTTTTATCCTCACCTATCCAATGTCGGCTATTTTTTTTCTAAGGGTAGCGCCTCTTATGGCTGCAGGACCCTGGCACCTGTTCTCCCATGTTTGTTTATAGTGTTTCTCTTGGATAGGTTGTTCCAAACTGAACTGTATTTTTGTTGTGCTGGTGCAATGACAAAGCCTTCTTTAAGTCTTTTAAGTCTTGAATTCCATACCTCAAGGTCCAACTTTGATGTGTATTCATCCCTCCTGTTGATTTTTGCGCACTGAACCAGATATTTCTTGGCTGTCTCTGTTCTTCCATTAGCCAACAGCCAGCGAGCTGATTCGGGCAACCAGCTGAGGAACAAGTGGAAGACACTGGCTCTTTAAACACACTGTCAACTTCTGAGACAGGAACTTCATCAGATCTCAGGCTTACCACCAGGAGACRATGGCAACAATGCAGGGCACTGTCACTGCCATCATCAGGTGCCTCCAGTCTCGGATCAGGTAGGCCAGGAGAGCCAGAAACATGTTCCCAACGCTCCACGAGAGACTCATAATGGTTCCAGTGAATGTTCTGTGCTTGACGTCTGTCCACTCGATGCCTTCAAACATGGTAGATTCAAGAGTTTAGAGGCTTCAGCAAAAACAAAAATACAAAAAACAATGTACGATTTTCATCAGTCTAAGCTTTATGTGAGACTTTTACATGTCAAGGTTTTAGAGACTTTAGTTGATAGTTAATATGAATTTATTTGATTAGCTTGGCCCCAGAATGTTGAACAACATGATCAAACAGGAAAATAAAACAGCATGAATGTCGTTTTGGACAGCTTTTGAAGATAAATATTATCTAACATCTGTGATGGTCTGTAACGCTGCATTATGTAATAATGTAATAAAATCAGGCTTCAAAATGTAATAAACCCGCACTAAAACAGCATTATGTAATAACTGATGCAAAATGTAATAAATTTCTTCAACTCATTTTGTAATACTCGCATCCGCATTATGTAATAACATTATTACATTTTGCAGTGATTGTTACAAAATACGGTTGTTGGTCTTTTTTAGAAATGATAATGTAATAATGTAATAAGCAATCACAAACCAGCTGTTTTTGTTCATCCTAATTAATACATTTGTAACTACACACCGCGTAGYGGTAACATAATGACCCCGCATGCACAAATGCACCAGAACTCAGAAGTCTTTATTCATAATAAATGTAATGCCACTAGGTGCATCCCAAAATTGTAGTGGTTTGGGTGGGGGTCTTTTTGTGGGGGCTTGGGGGGCATTGGTTGACCTGATTGATAGCCCCCCTCATCAGAGCTAAACAGCAAAAGAAATCTGAAGCTCCTGTGTTTAATAGTTTTTGAGCTATAACCATTTTTGTATGTCCAGATTCCCCTTTTTCAGATAAATTGGGGGTCAGGGGGGTTGGGGGCACTGATTGGTGGGCCTGATGGATAGAGCTTCATCAGAGCTAAACAACAAAAGAAATCTGAAGCTCCTATGTTTAATAGTTTCTGAGTTATAAGCATTTTTTCATGTCCAGACACCCCTACTTTGAAAGGAGCCTCCTCCTCAAATATGGGGTCTATCATAAAACCGTTGGCTGGCGCAGTGTTGGTCAGACTCATCTACAGTCCTGACTAATTTCATGTTGACCGGTGCAGCCGTTTTTGTGCTACGGTTGACCAAAAATCACTGATAGATAAATAAATAAATAAATAAATAAACAAACAGTATGAAAACAATATGACTCCCGCTTACGCATTGCGTGCGGGGGTCATAATAAATGATCATGTTGCAGATACTACACATTTAGATTTTTGAAACTTTGGTCAATAAATGCCAAACTTTTCATCATTTAACCAATACAGGAACACAATGCATATGGTGCATAAAAACAGCGCATCTATCTCACCCGAGGACCAACACACACACACACACACACACACACACACACACACA